CTAAAATTCTGTAAACGCAACACGCAACGGTATAGGTACGATCCAATGAAATTATCATTAAAAAACATATTATTGACGAATATTGGTAAGTGGAGCATGTTTAAAGTGGTTTTATCGATTTCCCATCAAATTGTAGAGACATGACGACTGTGACGTGTCAACGTAACAGGATAGTATCCTGGATAGCAATAGTTTCCGAACCACCAATACATATTACATATTGCGATTCGATATTTTTTCAACGCACAGCGTATCGGGATAGGAACGAAGACGGCGATAAGACACGCGGCGTCTGAAAAATATCAGGCCAGCATCACTTGGCCGGGTTCGATCGAGCGGGAAAGAAACCGGGCGAGAAATCGTGAGGAGACGGGGTCTACGCCTCTATCTGGAAGACGTTCTATCGATTTTCTGTCATCTTCTTGCGTTTACGACATCTCATCGCGTTTCGATGCTACCAGGAACATATCAGCATGTCACGCTTGTTTACTCGGATCCGCGCCCGTTCATCCGCAGTCGGATGCTGCGGCTGTTGCCTGGATATTGTGGAAAAGCAACTGGTTCGCTCGAATCATTTAACTCGTGCAATTGTGTCCTGTACTAAAACCTTATTAAAGCCCTAACGTTTACCAAACGCATAATAGCTAGACTGATAATCTGTCGTTCAGTTGCCAAAGATAAAAATATGTGTATCGATGCATTAACAAAGATACTAATAATAAGTATGGTTTCTTGTTTAATAATAGCATTGAAGATCAGATGAATAATTCATAATTACATTAAGATTCGTACTAGTATTCTTCGTATATTTCTTTCTCCTTTAGTGCTACTTGTGAGAGTGTTGCAGATTTCTTATGATTGAATAGGAAATTGATCGTCGATAGTTATATCGTTGTTTAAATGATACAAATCGAGGTTTAATTGAATAGTATTGACTAAGCCTGATCGGCTGTCGAATGGTCGTCAATCGAAAATTCAAGCAGACGACCAGTTTTGTATTAGGCGAACAGATTTCGGGGTGAGCATTTAATTCCGTCCTCTCCATCGTGAGACCACGTGACACGTCGTCCTTGCAGGATCAGGATAGTAGTTCTTCGAACAGTTAATACGATTCCGTTTCTCCGAAAATATTTTAAAAATCTGTTAACATTTACTTTAATAAAAACTGTATAACTACTGTATGATATTTGTAAGCATCTAATAAATACGAACGCTGTAGTATTCTACTGTAAATTACGAATATAAGATTAGTTTCAAGTTTATTGTCTCTTTGGTCCGTTCTCGGACGATGTATTAGCACTTAGAATTTAATTCCACACAGAAAACTTAGTAGGGGAGCTTGAAGCTTAGTATGTTTTCTTAGTAACTCCATAACTTTCATATTCATAGATGCTGCATACATTATTCGCATGCACTCTGAATATAATCGACGGAGTATTATACCTAATAGGTCATCCATAAAAGTGAGATCTACGCGTATGGCACTTACGATTCTCTACTACTACATTTTTCATTTAATATAAATTACACGTACGCCTGTCTGAATGTTATTAATTAACTGTATGCAGTGCAAAGTTCTAAGTCGTATCGTTCTCGTTATCTACGATGTCACAATTTGCGTACACACGCGCACGGAGCGAAACCGACGGCCAACTGTTGCGCCGGCAACCTCGACCGCAGTGCTTCCTCCGGAGTCGATACAATTGATGAACCCGGCTGCCAGGCCAGAAGGTGTGGCAGCCGCGTGTGTCGATAGATTCGATACATCGAAACGTCACGCGGGTAGTGGGACTTGACATAAACGATACACAGCTTGACATCGATACCAGGGGTAAGCTCCTGGCAGATGCTGACCTCCTGGCAGTTCGAGATGCAGCGTGTCTTTCGAATGGCGACGAGACCGCTTCCGTCGCGCGAGTCCCGACGCGACGGCAAGACAATGATGGCGGTGATTCGAGATACACGGCCGTAGCGTGTCCGTAGAGCAAAAAGAGCGACGCGATGGAAAGACGGAGTCGGTCTTTTCTGATCCTTCTGGCGGCTGGCAAAAAATACCATGCCCCCTTGGCACGCCTCTTGGGATAATGGGACGTCATAAACGAGCGTTGGTGCACCCGCGGCAACCTCTGTTATTATTTCACGGCAATTTCTCGCCACCGTCGATGTCAGGAACGAGTGGGGGATCGGATAAAAAAAGAGAAATGGGTTTTACGGTTCGTTCGAGCCCCAATAATCGTTCACGGCCGCCGACAACGAAAAATCGATCGCTCGCGTCAAGTGCGCATGTCGTCCGCTCTCCCTCGGAACTTTTGTAACCCGCTCTTGCAGCGGAAGCGAGATTTATTTTTCTGTTACCCTGTTGCCACTGTGGTTACCGGCATTCTTTTCATTCCCCGCTTTTCGACGGTTCTTCACGTTCCTCTCCACAGAGCTGGAAGGAACCTCCGTCACCATGGAACTGAATGTCTTAATAGTATTCCATGTATCAGTATTATTGACTGATAGACTAGCATGAAAAGAATAAAAACTTAGTCATGATTCTCTCTTGTTACGAATTTCTAGGTGTGAGCTATGAGGATGCTTTGCGGGATGGTGTACTGCTTTGTAAACTCATGAACAAATTGCAACCGGGTATCGTCCCGAAGATCAATACTTCCGGCGGTGATTATAAAATGATGGACAATCTCAATCAGTATGTATCGCAGTTTGCAACAGTTAAAACGATAGCTTTATGTTAACACGCACGTGATACGCAGAGGAACGATAAACTAATCAACGGTTATCCGAGAACGAAGCCTCGCTGAATTTTTACAGTTATATAATCATCGAGCTTCTTGTCGTATCATGCTTTCCTAGTGTGCAGTCGAGTTTACGCAACTGACAGTGCTTCGCTTTACGTCTCTCGACTCTCGACTCCACCAATGCAATCGATCTTTAGTCGAGAGCGTTCGCGTGGGTCGAGAGATCAAACGATATGCGATTATTGACCTCGGATCGAGAGTCGCCGGTGCAACTGCCGCGAATATTCGCTCGCGTTACGGGCGTTGCGCTTTCAGTCTTACATGCGAAACGCATTTTTCTTTTTATCATTGAATGATTACTTTGTCAAATGAAGCATGATAAACATTATAGAAAATGTTTTCTTGTCCTTCGTATCAGGAGTAAACGCAGACAAAGTATCTAGAGACCGCGCATCGCGGACAGCTAAAATGCATAAAGCGGTGATTCCGTGTAATATTGCAACCGACGCATTGTGCGAAGTGCAGCGTCTGTGTGACACCAGCTGCGTTGACCGCAGTGTCCCGTGCGCATGTCGGCAATTGGCGCGATTTCAATGTTTAAGAGCGCTTTCCTGAGTAGTGGGGTGAACGATGCGCAGCGCGGCCACTCCGCATTACTCCCTTTTCATGCGGCGAACATAACTGATCCGGAGGCTGATGATCTTAACGACGCATGCTTCTCTCTTTCCTGGATTCCTGATAACCAGAGAGCTCATTAACACTGGCCTGCCTCACGTTTCTTGCATCGCGAAAGCTTGGCTCGTTGCACGTAGGCGACAAAATGGCGACCTGATGAATGTATTTACGACACTCTGGGAAATAAAAAATATCGACCGTCTTCTCCTACTACCCTTCGCTAATAACTTCGTAATCCTGCCTTTTTTTCTATTATGGATGATCGTCCTTATTGTCCAGCGCATTAAGTGCGCTTGTTCACAGATTAAGGAGATCTCGATGATTATCGCGAACGTTTAGTCAATTACGCATGACCTGGTACTTATGTGCTCACATATCTTTGTATCCTGCTACCCTGTTAATTACAGACACCAGGCGCGTTAATTCTGTGCCCGACAGCGTTTAATCGTGATGATTGCATTATTTTATTCAGATTCCAGAAAGCGTGCGTGAAATATGGAGTACCGGATGTAGATCTGTTCCAAGCGGTCGACCTTATGGAGAGGAAGAACATCGCGCAAGTGACTAACACCATTTTCGCCATCGGTCGCACGGTAATAATTCTCAATAATTCAACTGATTACAATATTCTTCAGTGAATAGTTTGGTGATTGCGGAAGAAACGATGTTGAAATTCGCAGACGTACAGACACCCGGAATGGCGTGGACCGTGGCTAGGTCCGAGACCAGCGGAAGAGAACAAACGAAACTTCACGGAGGAGCAATTAAGAGCTGGCGAGAGTGTGATCGGTCTTCAAGCTGGCACTAACAAGGGTGCGACTCAAGCTGGCCAGAATTTCGGTGCAACGAGAAAAATTCTCCTTGGGAAATAATGGCTATCGTTTTTATGTATTCTTAAGATTTGTTAATAGTTCAAAATTAATTTTAGACCGAACTCACTCCTCAAGGTTTTAACAAGCGAATTGTAATTAAACCTATTAATAAACAATTACACTTGAGATTTCCTTATTTCTCTTCCTGTATCCTGTTGTATATAATACGTATGAACGTCGAGGGAGACGCAGTAGTCGTGAAGGCGAACACATTTTTACGTCTGTAGGACCCTGGCGGGTTGTGAAATAATTTAACAAATTATTACGTGCACAGATATTATTTCTCTCGAGCGACTCTCGTGCTAACGCCTCGAGACTGAGTACTCGACTGTTCTTTGTGAGCACTTCACGAGGCGCTCGTCCAGACTTCGTTCGTCTAAACATCCTGCCTCCTTATCTCGCGTTTTGTCCATCGACACCGTGATCTGGGAGGGACGTGGTGCCAGATATTCACTGCCACACGTCAGTTCTGGTATATACTGATACTGGCGTACGTAGTACGTACGCAGGTGGAGAAGTACGTAAATACATGATGACGAGCCTCGTACGTGACAGTGACGATGAATAGGCGTGACGTGTACGTACACGCATTACACGCATTCCTCAAGCAGTTTCTACACCGCGAGGCTCCCCAATCATTAGGCGAACATCTTATGCTAGAGGCTGGAGCTAGACTGCCAGATCCCGCCACCTCCTCAACTGTTTTCTGTTCACGTGTTCACGTTTTAAATTTTTCTGTATGAAAACATCGACGAATTATTTTGTCGGTACGCCGCATTTTACCCAAGAGCTCAAATCCACTTTGCATATCGCTGATTTATAGAGATTCGTACTTGCAATTAGTTTCATTACTTCGTTGGTTCATCAGTGGTTTATTTCAAAACAAACATGACTGATGACAAGATTGGTTCTTTGGAAGAACAAGCTCTAAAACGAAAAGAACGTTTGCACGCGTTGAAAAAGAAGACTGAAGATAATAAGGAGAACAAAGACGATGGCGATGGTAAATTACCAAAGTAAGTTTTCAAATCTAACCTCAACTAACCTCTAAAAGTCACTCTTCCCTACTTATATGTTCGCTTTTTAATTGTGACAGGCCAAAGTTTCGAAGTTACAAACCGCAGGATGACAGTCTGAAGAATGACGTGTTAGATGATGCCAAGCCGGGGAACGTGGAGGAGGAAGTGAAGGATCAATTAAGTGCAGCAAATACAAAAGTTGTCATCGAAGAACTCGTACGTAATCATTCATGGAAAGTTAAAGTATTTTTTCTCTTTTGGTATTTATTCATTGAAAATTCTTCAGGATATTAGCAACCTGGCTCCTAGAAAGCCTGATTGGGATTTGAAACGAGACGTGACTAAGAAGTTGGAGAAATTGGAGAGAAGGACACAGAAGGCTATAGCAGAACTTATAATGGATCGTCTGAAGCAAGGGCATGATTTGGCTGCTGTGGTTAACATGGCAACCAAAGATCAGACAGACTCACCTACCTGATATTAATTATATTATTTTTATATATTTTTTCACCTATTAAAGTCTGATTCATCTGTAAATATGAAGAGAAGAATAACAAACAACAATGGTAAGAATTATATATATTTATTATCTAAATCACAACTTATTTTAATATAATATATTTCATGTTTATGAGAAAACAATGTCATTAAACCGCGGATTTTTTATGCAAGGTACAATTTAAAAAATGAAATCTAGATACAAATTTCTTTTAAAAATAATAACATCCATTTTACTTTTGATATTCCCCATACGCTTCGATGTTATATGCATTCGTTTATATTTTCTGTAGATGCCATTTTTTATAAAAGCGTAAAATCCACAGTCTTCCTATCGTCTATAAAGTATACTGAACGAAGTTTAGAATCATGGCAGCAGTAAGAATTGTCAGATATTCCTTTTCCTATTTCTACTGCTTAATTGATTGTGTTACAATAAAATAAAGGGTAGAGTAACATGGTCTATGTCTATGTGTTGTCAGTCGATATAAGAATAACTTTTTTAAGTATAATATGTTCTATATACAATACTTAAGGTATTTTTATGATCAAATATCTATCAGTTCACACATGATTAAAAATTTTCCTCAGATAAAATCTTCGAGCATAGATACGTCTGTTTGTTTTGTAATAAAACGTATGATATAAATACTTAAGATTGATTACTTTGGATTATATTAATGATGAAGGTGCTTGACTAGAGCTTCCAATGCATTACTGGTATGGTAACAGAAAAATGATTCCAAGTATTACTGCAAACGCTGTAACAGGAAATAATTGAATTCGTCAAATATTCACACGATAAATACTGAAAATCTATTATTATTAAATATGTAAAAACAATACGAACGTGACACGGTCCACATGCTGTCTTGCCCAGATTTTTTATTATCTTGCTTATCCATTTTGTCCGGTTTCGATGTTGCGTTAGGTTGCATACTGTGTTCTCCGTTGATCGGACTAGTTGGTTTCAAATTCTTGGTAGAATCTTCTTTAGTGGTGCTCTTCGGAGTTGTGGTAGCTTCATCCATCTTCTTGTTACGATAAACTATTCTGCCGTCTAACGGTTGTACCGGGCGGAAGTTATGCGTTATATTCGTGCCATCGTTGGACTGAATCCTTCGGAATGCAGCTAGCTGAAAATGCGTTATGTAAACGTAGACAATTATGATAGTTAGTTGAATTACGCGGACATCCGAGTCGAAAATGGGTATTTTTAACTGAGATCAATTTAAAAATACGTTTCACCGTTGCCATTCGGAATTATCATTCGTTAAAGATGTTTTACGTCAAATTCGACGTGATCGTGTGATCGTGAGTTTAGGAATACCTGCTCGTGGGAGATATTTTGAGGCTGCACGAAATCGATCCACTGAACGATCTCTGAGCAAGGGGGTGTAGTCAGTGATCCTTTATAAGTAAAATAGTCTTCCGGTGTCGAAGACTGGGGCAGAATCAGTTTGCTTAAAATTTGCTGATCATCGATTGATACGTTGCTGTTGACCGGTTGTATGTCTGACATGTGCGTCACAATCGCATCAAAATCCGCATTGGGCGTATCCGTGGCCTATAACATAAATGCGTACCTCTTAACACAATTATTCAAGCGTGAGATAAAAAACGTGTATCGAGATATAAGAATAACGCGAAGTTTAGATAGTTCGTGCAGATCAAATGCATTTCTTTGTTAAAGGAACAATTCCCTCTTATAATTGTTGATTTATCTTCGTTTGATCGCGTTCGAATTCCATTCAGGTTTTCCGGAATAATTTAAAATAGATCGGGAACGTGCGCGAAGAGCATGTATGCGCAGATAGTTAGCGCCGTACGTGCGATTTACATAACTGATTTTACGTATTACACTCGTCGACATGTAATAGAAGAATGTAAACTTTCGATCTCACGATCTTACCAAGGATCGTTTGAGATCATTAATCAGGTTTATTCAAGCAATATTCATAGTTAGTTCAATTAAGGCTTGATCGTATTCCATTTTCCTCTGAATTTTCAATACTACGTTTTCAAAAACTATCGTTTTCACTCGTCAGTAGTATTAATTTGTACAATATTCAGAAAGTTTGCAAACAGTAATTACTAGATTGCGAATGTCATGTAATAAGGAAATTGAACACTTAAAAATGATAAATGATGCTTGCAACGTATAAAACTAATTTAGAACGTCAAGAGTTAAGTACTTATTTCATTATTTAAATGATAGAAGAAATACTTATCTAAAACATATTTTTCAAACTGATGCTTTTGCATAAAGTGATTATAAATATTGAACGTTTACCTGATACAAGTATCCGAGTACAGTCAAGCCGTCGTCATGTTTCATCGCCTCGTCCGCCGTGCCGTAACTCTTCCTCCAAAAAACCGCATGCAACTCCATAGAGTACGAATGATTGTTTATTAGATCCTCGGATCCCAGGTCATCGCTCTGACCCCAGTGAAAGTGTATTTGTTGTAATACGTGGGTACCGTTCAGAGGCCCTCCCGATATCTCAGGAAAATGAGATTCCAAATTCTCGATCTTCACTAGAACGACGAATATCCGACGGTTCAATAGCTACCTCGGCTATCCAAGAATTCTAAGTTCGGATCATAGTTAAAAAGATAAACTGTCGACGCGTTCACTTTGTGAAGGCTAGTTTTCCAATTTCCATGAGGATTCCTTGGATGTTTTATTTTAATTGCAAACGTCTATGACGTGTAGTAATCAACGTTGATTTACAACAATTCAAGGATAACAATTACGTTTGAAGAATTTTATGGAACAATTATAATGATTGATATCAGTACTCAATAGAGGGTAATCGGACTTTGAATATTTTTAGTTTCCTGGAAAGAACTATTTTAAATATTCTATTGCGCGTTTCCGAGACTCGCACGGCATTGTTAATTATTTATTTAAGTCGACAACTTCTTAGTCATAATTAAGAATGATACGAATTAATATGAGAAAAACGAACTAATCGAATTTATAGTCTACGTATAAGGAATTATTGATTGTTGAACTTTTGCTAAGTATAGACTATGATGCTGCAATACAGCAAATTGCATATTTATGCACTTATATGGATGATGTATACTTGTTCATACGATCCGATCGCTATCTATCTGTTCTAAATACATTGTTTTAAAAAGTAGCTCGCTTCTATCATGTTTCACGTCATACTTTCGTTACACGTGTGTCAAAACCTGTTACTAGTACCGGTATCTTTTTTTGGCGCAATTTCCTTTCCCCGAGACATTCGTTATTCTCTTTTTTACTATAAAAACAAAGCTTGTCTGTTGATTACATCGCTCTATCATTAATGAGTTTTCATCAGAACAGAATTTTTTGTTCCGAATACCGAACCGTTTCTTTGCTGGGCTTCGATAAATCGTGTGCGAACAACAAGTAAAGGTCTCGTATTAAATTCTAAATAAATGGTCTTCGCCATTCTCAAGCAACCTCGCATATCTATTTATTCCAAGTTTTGCTCGAATAGCCAACAAATCAGACGGTAGTTCTAGTGCTACGTGCACATGTCAATAAGTCGACCTTGTTGCTTCTTCGTACCTGTATGCCCATTGTTCAGCATGCGTGCCTTATGGGAAGCCGAGACACCGTAAAATTGCAGCGGTGGAAAACTGTGATACGTAACATCCTTCTCTTCTATGTCTATGGGCGACTGGAATTTCCCTTGACATTGGTCTCCCCAATTGTCCGGGCCTAAAAACGACCCAAAAATATGTCAAAGCTATTCAGGAGTACACTTTAGTCAGAGGCACCTAAAACTAGTTTTTCATAGCACAGGGCTTAAAGCATAGCATAGCAAGCTTGAAGGCTGATCAACAGCAAGCCGAAGTTGGCTTGAATTCTGCTAAAATTATAATGTTTGATAAATTAATGACGTTAAACTAAAACAGTGACTGACGTTCACAGGCTTAATATGAATTTTAGATGTTCATAGGTTTAAATAATGTTCTGTTTTATAATTTGACTTACCATTATCGCCATCGTATCCAAAATCGCCGACGACCAATCCTGAAATAAACAAGAAACAGAAGTTCATATTACATATTGCCGCACATTATATAAATGTGCATTCTATCAGATCGTGCTTTCAATTAATCGCTCGTAATTATCCAGCAATTATAAGAATCTCATTATCTCGGCGCAACCTGCATTGCTACACGTTCGTGGAAAGCACAATTCTATGTAAACAAAATTCTTAGGCATCATCGTGCCGGTACTTTGATATTTATATGGATCGAATCGAAACGCGTCGATTCCTAGAGCATGTTTAAATCCCAGCAATGTAATAAAACTTCCATGTCAAATACGATTTCATACAAATAAAATAACGAAAATCAGGTTGACATTACATTACATATTTTATTTTAATCAATCCGAGGATATTTTAATGAAAAATCTAGTGAATGAACTTCGGATTGAGATTGCAGTCAAATTGCACGTTGGTAAAGTCTTGTTTCAATTGAATCTGATAGAAGGGTCTGAAATGAGTTAGGCAGATCAGTCGTGATTCAACTCGGCGGTAGTACAGTGAAAGTCGATTCACGGAAGATTTATAAGTCGGCTCGGTTATTGCATTCGACTCGTCACAGATGAATTATTCTAGACCAGAGCTCTTATTAGGGTATTCGGTTCCCACGTCGTTCACCAGCTAATATAAATCCGTGCATATCGATTCGAATTCGATTGCAGGGATTAAACTTGACATCAAATGTATTTTAAATGATATATGCTCAGTCGACGTGCTGTTGAATAATAAAATGTAATTTTGTGCAACAAGGACATTGTATTTTTATCTGTCCAGCACGTACGTACTGATCCTGCGATTAAGTCTTATTTTTTTTCGAGCGAGGAGTGAACATTCTCGTAATTAGAGTCGCTCTTAAATAACGGAACGAAGCAAGCATTAGGCGAAAGTGAAATTAAGAGAGTCGAAGATTTTTTGCAGTGGAATTCACCGATCCGTTGAAAAAGGAATGTGAATATTTGAGTGAAATAAATGTAAATCGTTCGGTAAAGTGAAAATATATACATGAACATTAATGTTATCGACATAGAATAGACTTCTACGTAATAAATTTCTCTTTAGTTACTGTTAGGACACTTAAGGATGTATTGGTTATACAGTCAATCCCAAAAGTTTATGCACTTTAGAAACGCATTTTTTAAAAAGAAATCAGACGTCGGAAGAACATTGCTAATAATAAACAACAAAAAAAAATTTTTTATTTTTCCGAGATTTTTCCAAGGGGTACCCCTTCAATTTCTTCCAAATTTTCATTTTTGGC